CCTCCCGGGTTCAAGTGATTCTTCTGCCTCAGCCTCCCGAGTAGCTGGGATTACAGGCATGTGCTACCACGCCTGGCTAATTTTTTGTATTTTTAGTAGAGACGAGGTTTCTCCGTGTTGGTCAGGCTGGTCTCAAACTCCTGACCTCAGTGATCCGCCCACCTCAGCCTCCCAAAGTGCTGGGATTACAAACGTGAGTCACCGTGCCCAGCCTTAAATGAATTCTTTCGTGAACAAATACTTTCAGAAGATGTGTAGAAATCTTTGAAGATGATTTGAATCATTGAGAACTTAAATTATTTAATGTGAGAGGAAGCTATATATTTGAAGTACAAATGTTTCTAACAAGGCTCAGATTATCATAGTAGCTATATTTTGTTTCAATAATGAAATATATGAAGAACTAATTTCATTTTGTGCCATTAAAATAAAGATGTATCAGGGAAGATATATTCTTGAAAATAAGTGACTTTGTGAATACAAAACAATGTATATTAGAGAATTTCCTGGGATAATGATAGTGTTTTGACTTTATTAGAGTTTAGGTTGCATACATGTATGCACTTGTTCAAATTTATGAAATAGTAGACTTATAATTTGCACATTTCAGTACATATAAAATTGCAAAAAAGGAATAATACATATTAAATTCTAGTTAATGCTATGCATGCTGGACTATTAGAGGGAAACTATATTAATGTGTTTGACTTACTTCGAAATGCATTAAAAAAACCCTAAGATGGATTGGTGAATGGATTAATCATACAGAAAGCATACAGTGTATTCATAGTATAGTATAAGAAATACAGTAAAAATTGTAAATGCAGAGTGTAAGTGGTGGGTATATGGATGGTCCCTGTAAAAGTCTTTCAACTTTTCTGTTGCATCATCCTTAGGTAATCTATAGCAACACATAGGTTGATGTCAGATGTGCAAAGTTAGTATTTCAATGTGGTATCAATGTTGTTAATTTTTGTTAAAATCTGACTGTTAGGCTGGGCATGTTGGCTCATGCCTGTAACCCTAGTACTTTGGGAGGCCAAGGCGAGAGGATTTCTTGAGCTCAGGAGTTCAAGACCATCCTGGGCAACATAGTGAGACCTTGCCACTACAAAAAATTAAAACAGCTGGGTATGGTGATGTGTGCCTGTAGTTCCAGCTGCTTGAGTGGTGGAGGTGGGAGGATTGCTTGAGCCCTGAAGGCAGAGGTTGCAGTGAGCCATGATCGTGCCACTGCACTCCAGCCTGGGTGACAGAGCGAGACCCTGTCACAAAACAAAACAAAGAAACAAAAATCCTAACCGTTATATAGAATCCCTATTGTACTCCGTAATGAGATGAGGAGTGACCATGAGAATCATTTGAATCACAAGAGCATCTCTGATTATCTTACAGCAAAGATTGTAACAGAATCATTGAACTTAAAAGATGGGTTGGCTAGGCATGGTGGCTCATGCCTGTAACCTCAGCACTTTGAGAAGCTGAGGTGGGTGGATGGCTTGAGTCCTGGAGTTCAAGACCAGCCTGGGCAACATGGTGAAACCCAATCTCTACGAAAAAAAAGCTGGGCATGTGTGAATTTGAGGCCACTTGCAGTATGTTATGTTCATGCCACTGCACTCCAGTCTGGGTAACAGAGTGAGACCCTGTCTTTAAAAAAAAAAAAAAAAAAAGAGTGAAGCATATTTTATTAAAAGACAAGAGATGTCAAATTTGCTGACCCTTTTTGTATGACAAGTGACTATGTAATCTGCATTGCAGATTAAACACCAAGCAACCAACCAATCAATGTAACACTCTTACTTCATTTCTTCAAGGTAAAGGTAATGTTTTAACAAGCAGTGAAAATGTAACTGCCTTTTATAAAGGCTGGGATAAAAACACATCTATGTTTTTAAAATCACTGTTTGGAATATTTCTTTTATCATGTGATTTTTGTTGTCAAAGATATGTGTGTCTTATGAAAACTTACCTGCACTCTTAAAAAATACTTGGAAAAATATTTTGTATACTCTTCAAAAATGTTCCCAATAGAGTTTCAGTCAGTGGGGGGAAGAGGGAATAGGTGAAGGAGAGATGTTGGTAAAAGGGTCTCAAGTTTGTCAGACAGTAGGAATAAATGTTGGTGATTTATTGTACAGCATGGTAACTATAGTTAGTAATAATGTTGTGTATTTCAAATTGCTAAGAGTAGATTTTAAGTATTCTCACCAAAAAAAGATAAGTATATGAAGTGATAGGTATGTTAATTAGCTTGATTTAACCATTCTACAATGTACTATAAACATATTTCAAAATATCATATTGAACTCCATAAATATATATTATTATTTATCAATTAAAAAATATTAAAACAAGCAAAACCCATGATACATATCTGGTGGCAAATGAGTATTGTGGTAGAAATTCATCAAACTGCTCAGATGTGATTCGTGTACTTTTCTGGCTGATTGTCATACTTCAGTAAAAATAAATAAATGTAAGCACACACAAAAAAGTTTCAGTGGGTTTTTAAACCAGTTAAAAATGTTAAAATGTGGCATGTTTTGCTTAGTCTGCAAGATCAATTGACGAGAAGGAAGATGGAACTTTCTTAACCAAAGATCAATAAAAACGTTTGCATAATTGATGGAAGGTATTGAAAAATGCAAGTAGTAATTTAGTTAAGTCCAACAAATGATGTATTTCTTTAATGTCAATCCTTGCATCTTTGTATTATCCCCTTTCAGCTATGCAGCCATTACAGTTAAGTTCTGAAATAAGTGGAACTTAGGACCTGACATTTCAATCACCGAATCACAAAATGTTCACGTTATTATTTTTTAAAAATACAATTTGGTTTCTTATTATTTTCATTATTATCATTGCTCTACTAAAAATGGTAAGCTTTTATGAGAGCAAAAAGATCTTTTATATACGTAATAAATATTATAAAATGATTTTTAATGTTTGTGATTTTTAATTCATACTTCGTGTGTGTTTTATACTGTATAGGATATATTAGTAAAATAGTATGTGTATAATAAATATGCGTATATTGGAGGGTTGTACTAAATTTTGTTTAGATTACTTTTTTTGGCTGATTTGTTGGGGTATGTGGTCAAAGAAGTTTGGAGAACTGTCTTTACTGATCACTCATAATCTGGCAAGCTATTATTGACAGGAGTAATTATTTACTCTTAAAGTCTAAATGATCATTGTAAAGATTATAAACCAGCATGTAGTTTTAAATATGGGAATTTTTTTTTTTTTTGAGAAATGGTCTTGCTTAGTTGCCCTGGCTGGTCTAGAACTCCTGGGCTCAAGTGATTCTCTTGCCTCAGCCTCTGGAGTAGCTGGGATTACAGGCATGTGCTAAACATTTGTGTTTTAAGGTTGAACTTTGATAAATGAAGTTTGTCTTTAGACTAAATTCTGAAACAATGGTTCTCAAAGTATATAATAACATCAGCATTACCTGGGAACTTACTAGCAATGTAAATTCTCAGGCCATAACCCAGACCTACTGAACCAGAAATGCTGGTTAACAAGCTTTCTAGGTGAATCTAATGCTCACTCAAATCTGGGAACCACAGATCTAGATGATTTAGACTCATGGATCATTCCTACTTATTTCTTCCTACTTTATAATGTATCTGAGACAATTTCTTTATTGTATGTCTCAGTTTTAGCCCAGACTTTTTTTTCCTCTTAGATTTTTTTTTTCTTTTCCCTTCCTCTCCTCTTCCCTTCCTCTCAATGTTAAAAAAAAAAAGTCACTTAGTGTTGTTTTCACAAAGAAATAGTGCATTGGTTCTAAAAATTTGGGTGTCACAACTAATGTGACAAATAGTATATATTTAAAGGAGATATTTCTAAACATTTTCAAATTAATTTTGTTAACTACTGTATTAGTTCGTTCTCATGTTGCTATAAAGAACTGCCTGAGACTGGGTAATTTATGAAGAAGAGAGGTGTAATTGACTCACAGTTTTGCAGGCTTAACAGGAGGCATGGTTGGGAGGCCTCAGGAAACTTACAGGGGAAGCAAGCACATCTTACTATGGCAGAACAGGAGAGACAGAGAGAGAGAGAGAGAGAGAGAGAGAGAGAAAGTGCCCCACACTTTAAAACCATCAGATCTTGTGAGAACTCACTGTCATGAGAACAGCAAGAGGGAAACTGCCACATGATCTAATCACCTCCCACCAGCCCCTCCTCCAGTACTGGGGATTACAATTCAGCATGAGATTTGGATGGGGACACAGAGCCGAACTACTTCTAGTTACACTTGAATATGGATATAATTAATTTCCTATTATTTCCTGCCTATACTTTTTTGGTTTCAACTTTTATAATCTCAAAATAGTTTTCTGCCAATGAAGATTTCAAAACAGACATTTCAAAGTAGGAGTCACCTAAACTCAACAGTTGTTTGTAAAACAATGAATTTGCTTTATTTCTCTTTCTACATACATATATGCATACACATACATATTTTTATTTGCTGAACTGTTTGAAAGTAAATTGTATACATCAGTACGCTTCACCCCTAAATACTCTTAAAAAAATGGATTAAAGTAGCCCTTAATGGGACTAGTACAACATTGTTTTGAAATGCTAATTTGTAACAAATGCTCAACCATTTATTAAAGACTCTTAAATATTTTTAAGGTCCTAGTATAAGTATCTTTATGAGGAAAAGGTGTAGAATGCCAAGTTATGATGGTGTAAATAAGTGAATGTTTCAGCCTTTCTCAACTAAAAGTTTCTCATCTGAACTACAAATTACAGTGGATGATTTGAGTGACTATTTTCTCAGTTCCTCCAAGGATAGTACATAACTAGTGCCAATTCAGATGCAGAGGGGAGAAGTTAATTCATTACATACGATGGATGTCTTGGGCTTAATTCTCTCCTGGGAACCCAGTTTATTTGGACTGCATATATGGCAAGGCCTTAAAAGGATTTTGCTTTGACTGGCTTGTGATGTTTATCCAAATAACATTTTTTTTTTTTAGATTACAGGTCCACCAGGTTGTGGAAAAACTCAGTTTTGTATAATGATGAGCATTTTGGCTACATTACCCACCCACATGGGAGGATTAGAAGGAGCTGTGGTGTACATTGACACAGAGTCTGCATTTAGTGCTGAAAGGTATGAGATTTTATTTTCTATTATAATGTTTTACTTTTGTAACTTATATACAGCATGAAACATTTACACATAGGTTAACATCCCCCCTCCACCTCCCCTTTTTTTTTCTGAGATGGAGTCTTGCTCTGTTGCCAGGCTGGAGTGCAGTGGTGTGATCTGGGCTCATGGCAGTCTCCACCTCACGGGTTCAAGCAATCTCCTGCCTCAGCCTCCCGAGTAGCTGGGACTACAGGTGTGCGCCACCATGCCCGGCTAATTTTTGTATTTTTAGTAGAGACAGGGTTTCACCATGTTGGCCAAGCTGGTCTTGAACTCCTGACCTCAAGTGATCTGCCTGCCTCGGCCTCCCAAAGTGCTAGGATTACAGGTGTGAGCCACTGTGCCTGGCTTTTTTTTTTTTTTTTTTTTTTTTTTTTTGAGATGGAGTCTCTCTCTGTCGCCCAGACTGGAGTGCAGTGGCGTGATGTTGGCTCACTGCCACCTCTGCCTCCCAGGTTCAAGCGATTCTCCTGCCTCAGCCTCCCGAGTAGCTGGGATTAAAGACGCCTGCCACCAGGCCTGGCTAATTTTTGTATTTTTCATAGAGATGGGGTTTCACCTTATTGGCCAGACTGGTCTCGAACTCCTGACCTTGTGATCCACCGGCCTCGGCCTCCCAAAGTGCTGGGATTACAGGCATGAGCCACCATGCCCGGCTACCCCCCCCTTTTTTAAGAACACAGAATGCTGTTTTAAATAAAATTTTCTTTTAAAATTCACACAGGAAACAGTTTCTTTTTGTCTTTTGTATTCCTTATTGATATAAGTAGGGATCTTGGCTAAACTGTGTTTTGCAGAAAGTCAGGAAGATGTTAAGTTGAAAAAATAAGGAGGAATTTAAGTAGAAAATGGGACAAAGGGTAAACTAAAAAGAAAAACAGCAGGTTAGCTGCTTTATAAGGACAGATGTTTCTCAACTTACAATGGGACTCTGATTATGAAATCCAGATACCATTTCTTAATAAAAGGAACGAGTGTTCCTTGGGGAAATGGCTAACTCAATTCTGGGGTAGGAAATTTTAAAGTTGAGTGTGAAACATCATATTAGTTAGCGAGGAAGCTACAAAGACTATTTGGGGGTGTCCAACAGACTCAGAAGAGGCTCCCACTGGCCAAAGATGGAACAAATTGCAGATCAATGTGAATAATAATAGCAGTGGATTAAAACATGAAATAATTAAATGAGTCCATAATGACTTTAAGAGATGAAAAGGAACCAATTGATTGTCATTGGAGGGTTCTGAAGAAGCAACTCATTATTGTGAAAATGGGCAAAAAGAGAAGTCAAGTATCTATTTTTCTGTTTTTATATGAACTTTGTTACCGAGTAATAAACTGATCTTTTTTTTTTTTGAGACGGAGTTTTGTTTTTGTTGCCCAGGCTGGAGTTCAGTGGCACGATCTCCGTTCACTGCAACCTCCGCTTCCTGGGTTCAAGTGATTCTTTTGCCTCAACCTCTGAGTGGCTCCCAAGAGTGCGCCACCACACCAGCTAATTTTTGTAGTTTTAGTGGAGACAGGGTTTCACCATGTTGGCCAGGCTAGTCTTGAACTCCTGACCTCAGATGATCCGCTTGCCTTGGCCTCCCAAAGTGTTGGGGATTACAGGTGTGAGCCGCTGCGCCTGGCCTAAATTGGTCTTTTTATAAATGTATCCCAGTAGTAAATGAATAAGGAATATTAGAATATTACCAAATTACAAACTCTGACAATCTAATGGATCTAGGCATTTAACATCACGAAAAGATGACGAGTCACTGGGGTACTTTCTGATGGAAGAACAATCAAATTTGAATGTGATCAAGGCTTCAGATCCAGCCACCAGTTTATAACATAGCTAGGGAAGAGAGGAACACGTCAAACTACTCTAGAAAATGCAATTAGCAGAATCCAAACTGTGGGAAATAACAGAACAAGCAACTTGGTTTCCGTAACAAATAAGTTGTAAGATTAAAAAATACTTGGAAGGGGAACCTTTGGATTAAAACAGATTTAAAAACCTTGTTGATCAATTGCTGTGTGATGAACTTATTTGGATCTTGACTTAAATAAGTGGCTAAAAAAAAAAAAGAACCAAAGAATAAACATTGAGACCACTGGAAATTTGAACATGAAAATATATTTGAGATTAAAGCTGGTAAAGACAGTGGTTCACTCAAATTGTCCAAGTAATCTTTGAAATGCCAATGACTAGCCTTCAACTAACAAGCCAAGTAGGTATTAAATAGCCAGTTATGTCATAAATAGCTAATGTGCAAATAGCTCTTACAAAGGTCCTGGGGAATTTGGGTAAATAATTCAAAGATTAAGATTATTTTTATAACAGCAGTTCAGTTCACTGTAATGGATTTCTGCTTTCTGTGCACCACATACAAAACTGAGTTTAGGATGTCTTCTTAAGGAGTAAACTGTTGCATCTGTAATTTGTGATTATCTCTAATATGGACAATATATTGTTAATTCAGTTCATGTATACTGGAATTCTAATGGTTGCCAAAATTTTCATAGACTAGAATGTGGGGATGGGTCACTGGATTAATCTATTTATCTACATTCTCAAGGTATGTACAAGCATATGCTACCTAAGACTATATCATATCTTAAGCAGAAGTCCAGTGGGTTAAACAAAACAAATAAAAAACCAGCAGATCTTCTCTGGATCAATCAGATCTAGTATTACAGTTCAGAGCAGTGTAAAAACCTTATCAATGAATTGGGTGATATCTGCATACATACAGTAGCAGAAGAGTAGCAGGTGACTTGTCTGCATTTTCCAAATGAATTTATGGAAAGTCTTATGTTTTTTGTCTTTGCATAGAGCCTTAATTATTTACTTTTTGCATCCTCCATATTTACTTATTTCTCCTTCATATCTTTTTCTGCCTATGTGCATGTTGGTATTTACATCAGAGGCAGGTTGGAAAATGAGGAGGTAAGATTTCAGTTCCTTTGTTGGAATTATGTTGCATAGTTCACAAGGAGCTCTTATGAAGCTCATTTGAGAATAGGTGTTGAACTTTATATTGTATTTGGTTTTTTATTCCATTCTCCACAAGGCTTAAAATGAGTGATTGATGGACATTTGGGTCGGTTCCAAGTCTTTGCTATTGTGAATAGTGCCGTAGTAAACATACATGTGCATGTATCTTTATAGCAGCATAATTTATAATCCTTTGGGTATATACCCAGTAATGGGATGGCTGGGTCAAATGGTATTTCTAGTTCTAGATCCTTGAGGAATTGCCACACTGTTTTCCACAATGGTTGAACTAGTTTACAGTCCCACCAACAGTGTAAAAGTGTTCTTATTTCTCCACATCCTCTCCAGCACCTGTTGTTTCCTGACTTTTTAATGATCACCATTCTAACTGGTGTGAGATGGTATCTCATTGTGGTTTTGATTTGCATTTCTCTGATGGCGAGTGATGATGAGCATTTTTTCATGTGTCTGTTGGGTGCATAAATCTTTTGAGAAGTGTCTGTTCATACCCTTTGCCCACTTTTTGATGGGGTTGTTTGTTTTTTTCTTGTAAATTTGTTTGAGTTCTTTGTCGGTTCTGGTGTACAGCACGGCAACTATAGTTAATAATACTGTATTATATACTTGAAATTTGCTAAGAGATCAGATCTTAAGTGTTCTCACCATACCAAAAATAAAATGGTAACCATGTGAAAAAAAAAAAATGAGCGATCATCTGGCTCCCACATGGAATGGATTTTGAGGTCTGGTGATAGGGCCAGGTAGAATAAAAAATAGGAATGCTCTTTGATATATATGCGAGACTTGGCATTCTTATACCACCTTCTAGTTTGTCATGTGGGTCATAGAATGGAGCTGGCCCTGTAGTGTCTGATCACATTTCCTTCATTCTGTTACAGGACAGCTTAACCCCTATTTGGAATTATCAGGAAAGGTTGGTCAGTCGGTTAGGAAAGCTTACTGCTGCAGATAACTGACTACCCAAAGAACAGTGGCTTAAACAAAAACAGGTTTATTTCTCTCTTATAACAAGACCTGAGTAGGTGGTTGCTGGCACTGGGTCACTCAGGTCTCAGTAATGACAGGGAGACCTAGGGCATGTACATTTTCAGACATTGGATTCATTCTGTGCTCAAGTCAATGGGAAGGAAAAGGGCCAACTATATCTTTTATCAGGAAAGTGTACTTTTATTCAGAATATCTGCCTCCTCCCTTCTGTGGATTTCCTTTTTGCTGCCTGTAGTCCTCTTGCAGATTTCTCACTGAGTCACCTCTATATGTAAAAAGAGGCTGGGAAAGTGAGGGGAGAAGATTGTCATAACAATCATGATGAGTTGTCTGGTTAATATTGCTGCCTGAATAAAACTGGGGCTCTCATAGCAAGGAAGAAGTGGAAATGGATATTGGATTGGTAATTAACAGTTTCTGTCCCAGCCCCAGCTGTTTCTGGACTTAGAGAAGAGGCAAGCTAGGGAAATATGAGAGTCAAAAAGGACCATGTTGTAGCTCTGTATGTTTTAGCATTGTCTCCACTTTGTGCTTACAAAGCTAGCCAGCTAATCAGCACAAATGAGAATGTGTTTAAAGGATTAATATGATGAAGGATTAAAGGATTCACATATATAGAATTTAGGGTAAGTGAGAAAAAGTAGAAAATAATTTCTTCCTATAAATATCTAGATATCTTTTTACTAAGAAGGAGGGAGAAATCAAAGGAGGAATAAATAAAAATTACTTAAGTTTAAAATGTATTACAGAAAACAAAAAGAAAACCCTGCAGATAATATACTTAAAAGCACTTTGGAAAGGTCAGTTCTGTTTTTAGAAGCAATGCACTAAGTAGTTTATTGTCTTTTAGAAGATAGTAATCTAAATAGTTGTTAATCATACTTGTTCATCATAGACCACAATTGTATCTCCAGACTATTTAACAATTAGAACAGGTTTGTCCAACCCACAGCCCATGGGCCGCATGCAGCCC